GCGTCGGCGCCCGCCGCGAGCCGGGCCGCCTCGTCGGGGTCGCAGCGCCGCAAGCGCACGTCGTTCAGCGCCGAGCAGCTGCAGCTGCTGGAGCTGGTCTTCCGCCGGACCAAGTACCCCGACATTCATCTGCGCGAGCGCATGGCTGCACTGACCCTGCTCCCCGAATCCAGGATCCAGGTGAGCAGCCGGGCCAGCCATGGAGGGAGGCGCTGGGAGAAGTGGGGGCCCCGGCCTCGTGAGGCCAGACCCCAGTGCCCACTTACTCTGGGCAACTTACTCTGGGCAAGTTACTTCCCTGGAGCTTCGGCGTCCTGGGCTGTAAAATAGGACCAACTCCAGTATTTAGGGAGCAGTCCCGGTGGGTGGGGTAGTGGTTCCGCACTGGGCTGCAATCCACAAGGTCGGCAGTTTGAAACCAGAGGTTTTACTCCCTTAAAGAGTGAGTCTCGGAAACTCACAGGGACAGTTCTGCCCTATCGGGTAATTGTGTCACTGGATGGCAGTGCATTTTGGTGAACAGTACCTACCACCCTGTCCCACGGTCAGCGGAAGCGATTATTTCCCACCGTCGTCTGGCTTACATGAAGTAGTTCAGGCAACGCACACATTAAGAAGTATAACACGTGCCTGCGAGGTTAGCTGACACTCAGAAAAGTACCAAAAGAAAGTCCACTTACTCATCGCGGGCAGGAGTCCGAGGAGGTGCAGTTGGTGTTTGAGTTTGGAATGGAAGCTGAGCAAGGACTGGGCTGACTGACTGACTCAGTGATTCGTCTCTCACTTTCTCGGGAGATTGTGGTTCAAAAGGATATGTATAGTATCTTTGTGTAAGCCAGAAGCATTTGCAAGGTCTTGCTTTCTTGTCCTTTGAACCAACCTCTTGCCTTAAAACAAAAATCTCGTGCAACCTGCTTTTACTGCCTAATTTTTTAATTTAGCTTCGTGTTGAAGAGAAGCCTTTTTGCCTATTAGTATCACCCTGGACTGTATCCAAGTGCAGTGTTGTGTACATAGAAAAACAAAACTGAAAACACACCAGGTGCCATTGAAGACCTATCTTCTACTTCATGATCCACTTGTGGTGATCCCATCCGGGAGATGGGCGCAGAGCTGCCAGTGGCTGGGAGCTTTCAAAAGTCGATTGCCAAGATCGAAACTGTCAAATGTTCTGTCAGTAGCTGACTGTTTCTCCACTTGCACCACCAAGTTTTAAGTAGAAGCCCTCATTTTCACACTGGAAGAGAATTGGTTTCTCTGAATCCCTGGTGGTAATTCGTGTCACTTCCAACAGCTGGCAGGAAGGCTCCTACGAAGGACCTAGTCTCTATTTGAGGGGCGATGGTGAGCAGGCCTTTATTCACAGAAGTGAAGTCCACTGGGCAAAACATCTCGATTGATTTGACTAAAAAGTATATAGAACTTAAAAAAAATGATTTTCGCAATCATTTGAACATGTATCATCTTCAACTGTACCCAAAACCAAACTCACTGCCATCACGCATACTGACTCAGTGATTCTACAGGACAGAGTAGAACTGCCCTGTGAGTTTCAGAGGCTAGCACTTTATGGGAGTAGAAAGCCGTCTTTCTGCCGTAGAGTGAATGGTTTTGAACTGTGGACCTTGTTCCAATGCTTAGCTACTACACCACGAAGGCTCCTTGTTTTAAGTGTAGTAATTAAAAAAAATTTAATCACAGTTTTCCTGTACTTTATTTAAACTTTTGTGTAGCCTGTTTTTGTGAAAATTCTAAATACTCATTTCAAATGTCCCTACAGCAGACAGCTGATAGAAACAGGCATTATTCTAATTGTGCTTATGGGAATGGTGAGGCGGGGAAAGCCAGGTGCTCTGCATCTCTGAAAATCACAGCAAGTGTTTCAACTGGAACTTATGATGATGAACTATGAACACAATAAGCGGCATAAGTACTCCAACCAAGAGCAGTTGTTTTCTCCCTCTTCCAGGTGTGGTTCCAGAACAGGCGTGCCAAGTCAAGGCGTCAGAGTGGGAAATCCTTTCAGCCCTCAGCCAGGCCAGAGCTTTTCCTCAACCACTCTGCTCCTGGAACAGATGTGAAATGTTTGAAGCCCCAGCTGCCTCTCCAGGTGGATGTGAACTGCCTACTTGATCCCAACAGGCATGGAGCAGACTTCTCTCATCCTAGCTCCCAAGGCCAGCAGAGTTTTGACACCTATTCCTCTCTCCCAGAAGACATTGATTCAAAGCGGGGCTCATGGGAGGGACACATCTTTTCTGCCTTTGGTAATTCTTGAAGATGCTGGGAGAACTCAGGCTGAACTCAGAGAAGCCATGACTGCCGGCCAGACAGGCATACATCAGAATACTGTACCTTCTGGCTTTCATGTTAAGGACACTTTCATGATAAAGGTTGACCGTGGTTTCTGATGACTACTTCTCACCTTTGACGGCTCTTCTCCTTTCACCCTATGGCCTGGTCACACCCCCAGGGAGTCTGACACTTATTTTACCTCTGTATTTCCATATTTAGTTCCATTTACATTCTGTTCCTCCTTGCCAGCCCTATTTTTATTTTGGGGTGGGTGCTGGTTGTTCAGAACTCATTATCTTTTCACAAGAGTCCTCAACGTCACTCAGTTCCCTCTTACGATTCCATCTTCTCATGTTCCCTCCAAAGCTTATAACCTTAAACTGAAGGAGACATAGCTTCTTCAACAGTCATTCTATCACCAAGATTTGTTACTTAAAACAACTTTGGCCCATCACCTTTACATTTAACTAGCGCTCTGATGACCAACCACATGACCCCAAGAACCTCGTTTCCCAACTGTTCTTTACGATGGCCTTGAGAATTCTAAAGGTAGCTTTCAATCGCAGCCACATTATGAAAACCCTGTTATTCTTACAAATAACCACCGACAATGTCTAGCATACAGGACAGTCATGTCAACCTTCTCACGGCCTCCCAATCACTGGAGCTATCTCAAAATCCAGTCCTTTCAGTTTGGGAGTGCAATCACTACCTTTCTTTTAAAACGCTCATTACCCCCTCTTTCTGAAGAGTGAAAATCTCTCTAGCCAATCTTGATTTTGTACTTATGAAGTCAGCCACTCCAGGACAGCTCCTAGCACTCGTTAGAGCACTTCTGTGCAACTCCAGTGGATTCTCCCGACTTCTTCACAAGTGTAACTCTATTTAAATGAGTTCGCTCCTTTAGACAACACTTGTTCAGTACCTATCATGTAGCTCTAAAAACTATTTCTAAAGACCCCAAACTGAAAAACAATAGGAGTTTCTGCAAAGGTAGCTTGAAGTACAATCAATATCTTGGCAGCATGTCACTGTGCTGAGAAGCTTGCCTTGGTTAAAAAAATGTATATCTACTCCTTGGAAGTTGAGTAACACATTTGTAAGTATTTTGGGACTCTTTTTCTTTCCCAATTTGTAAATTTTCATGTATGAATGTGAATATTCAAAAATGAAAAGTTTTGGTATTTTGAGGTTTCTGATTTCCCTTTATCTGTATTATGAGGTTACGGTAGGTAAGGGTTCACTATGCGCCGTGGCTTCAAGTAGGCTCACGGGGGCCATGGCAAGGCCGGGGCATCAGGACAGGATGGCCAACCTTAGAAGAGTCTGAACTATACTCAATGCTTTTAAGGTTACATATGCCAGTTGTACTAATTTCCAGAGTTATTAAAATGATTTGTAGTTTTTAGAGTAGCAAATCCATGATTAAAAACAACCAGAATGTAATTTAGTAGCAAATTGGACTTTTGAACCCTTTGAAAATTGCCCCAAACAAAAATGAATACTAAACATTTGCTGGTGTTATTTTAAGTGCTTACTATGAGCCACACACATGGTGGTTGGGGCCTATGTAGGAGTGGCAAGGAGGTCTCACAATCAGTGTTTCACATTTATACTTGTGACATGGCCCAACAAAATGCCTCAAGTACACCTACAGAGTTGAAAAATATGTAACATTTTAAACATAAAGCCCTCCAAGAGTCACATTAAAACCTGTATTTAATTGGATTATTGCATTTATATTGTGTTAAACACTAGTTTTCCAAATGAACAATTAAACTACACTTACTGTAAGTATTAGGTTTCTAATTTTTTTAAATGGTGAGATTCTCTAAAATCAGAAGTGGCCAGTACTTCTCTCAAATTTTAATAGTCCGTAACTGCTAAATGTTGCTGGCATCATGTATTTCATTCTTACAGTTATGATAAAAGAAATGGACTATTATTCCCATTTAAAAAACTAGCTAGCAAATTAAATAAATAAAAACAAACCCAAAAAACTCTAGCTGGCAAGTGGTGTGGCCACGAGTCAATCTAGGATTAGCTCAGCTCTTTACTCGCTATCTATGACCAGATGATGACATACATCAAAGTGGCCTTTGGAGTCAGGGTTAACAAAGTAATGTGAGAGGGTTAGACTAATATCCCCAGACAGACTTTCTACACCCAAATGAGTATTGTTTCACATTTCAAAGCAATCATTGAAGCCTGCACTCTTACTTTGACAACACCAACACCATCTAGAGCTCTTTTCCCAATATTTAATTGATGCATATGAACACTGGGCCTGGAGTAAAGTGGGGAGCACAACTCCAAAAGGACTCTAAAAGCTCACTCTAAGAAATAAGGACACTGCAAATGTGACAAGCAGTGGAAGGAGAGGACCTGGAGACACTGTAATGGATGCGGATATGGTGGTTGTAAGATGCAGGAGGTGCGTGGATATGAGAAAAACATTTCATAGGCAAATTATTTTGATAAACTCAATGGTAGTGAATCTGAAAATTGGAACTATATAGTTTAAAATAATTCAGAATAAAAGCTACATAAATAAAAAGCAAGTGGTGTGTTTGTTGGCTCAATTTGGTTTAAATAAGCTATGGCAGCACATTCAAACCAATGTACAAATGACTATTCTAAATGATAGATTTCTACTTCCCTATACAGAAATTTAAAATGTAAATATATTTTTTCAAAACAATCCCAGCTGCCAACACGATGGCACTGAAAACTTGAAAATACTTAATTTAACTGATTAAATAAGTATAAAATAAGGTGCTGTTTAAGTGAAACTTTAAAAATGTAAAAGAAAAACATTAAAAAAATATTTGCTTAATTCTAGAGGGAATGTAAGGGGTAACCCCGCCAAAAAAAACCCAGGAATTTTTTTTCAAAGTTTAGCATTAAAAATTTTTTTTTACAAGACAATCTTATCACCTTCGATGTACTCTCCATTACACCTAATACATTTGTCAGATCTGTGATTCCATTCTTAGAAACATTTTTTCAAACTAATCTGTCTGGATGGCTGATCACATGTGCCTCCCTCGTTTTTTCTTCACCTCTTCTACATTGTCAAATCGCTGTCCTTTCATTTCCCTCTTCATTTATGGAAACAAAAAAGTCCCCCGGGGCGAGGCCAGGTGAGTAAAGTGCATGGGGCAAGAGATGCATGCTGTTTTTGCCAAAAACTGAGATGGCTGTGTGAGCAGGTGCATTGTCATGGTGGCGAATCCAGTCCCCCATCTGCTACAAATCAGGCCTTTTGTGCTGCACACTGTCATGCAAGCTGTTCAGAGCCTCTAACCAGACAGCTTGATGAACAGTCTGACCTGGGGAACCAACTCCAAACGCCCTGCACAGTCGACGTTCTCATCCATCGGGCAGTTGGTGGACGTCCACAATGAAGTCTGTTATCAATTGACATTTCTTTCACCTTTTTGGAAAGGAGAAAACCACTCATACACTTGAGTTTTCCCACAACACTGTCCTTGTAAACTGTGTTCAACATCACAACAGTTTCTGTGGCATTTTTCCCAAGCAGGAAACAAAATTTCGCAGCAACATGAAGTTCGCTTAAATCGGCCATCACAAAAATGAGATTGCAGCGAAAATGCCTTTACGAAAAAAAAATTCACTGTGATCAAAGAACCTTCCCAGGCAATGCCAGTGGGTGCACGAACTCAGAGTGAGTTGCTCTATGCTCACCTAGAGGGGAAAATGCGAGCTATGAGAGCCCGTTCTGCCTAGCACAATTCCAGTTTTTGGGGAGGGTACCCCCTCCTATATTCACTTCAGTCTTTAACTTGCTCTGTACTATAAGACACAATTGCTTAATGTGATTTACTCAAAGGTGAAAAAAGAAAAATAATTCCATGAAAGTACCATACTTGAAAATTGCTTTATAATGAATCTGTAATTTTTCCCCCCCTGAAAATAAAATTCAGTGAAAATTATAATTCTTCAAAATGGCTTTTTAGTAAAGGAATGTTTATCACTTGTTATATCAATTAAAATTTTAGATATTAATTTCATAGATCAATTTATTTAGAATTACAAGTATCATTGAGAATAAAAGATTTATGCATTTCTTAATTAACATAACAATTTAGCTAAATAGAAACTCTTGCTAAAGTTTTGCAGCGGCACAATACTAACAAAGAATACAGAAGCATTTGTAAACTATACAAAAGTTTTAAATGGAAAATAATCTTGTTTTAAGTTTTATTTTACATTAACATATAAAAAGTCTCATTTTATGAGACATCTGAAGGAATCAAAACCACCTCTACATCTATTTTTTAAACTCCAAATTTGAAAACAATTTAACTTTATAATATTCTATATCAAAACAAAGAAAATTCCAAATACACACTTTGTACAAGGGTTTTCTTTAAAACACCCCCCTCAAATTTTCCCCCTCTCTCCCCAGAAATCCCCAAACCCTTCTGCATTCACAGCACTGGTTATTACATTTGTTTTCCTTATAAAAATCTTTTTACATTTTAAGTTGTGTACTGTTGAATTTTAACCAGTAATCTGGTTTAAAAGTTGTGCAAATAAACAAAAAAATATGAAAATAGTGTTATCAGTCTTTTTTTTCTTTTTTAATAAATCTCATAACAATAGCACTTTTTTTTGCCCTGAATCAATGGGAAAAGACACGCCAAATCCACTGGCTGAAATTCACCACTTTGCAATAATGCTTTTTTCCTGTTCCTTCATTTTTTTTTTCAACAGACAGACAACAAGGTTTTTATTTTTATAAATTATGATAAATTACAATATTTAAAATTATAAAATGATCTGCAGAGCCATGTCACATTACAAGTACATGTCACATACACTAGTAAAGTCCTTATTTTCCACCTCTCTTCCAGTGGCTTCCTTAAAAACAAAACAAAATTAAAGAGTACTTCCACATCTCATGATGGCATCTTTTGAAGACTGAGATGTTGATCAACCGCATCGACTGGAATTACAATTTTCTAGGCAGATTCCATACTGCCACTTACAGGCAAAGAAAGACCATTTTCCCTTCTTGTTCTCCATTGCAGTAGTTGTCTGCACGCATTGGGTCGATTTTATGCACACTTAAGAAATGGCTAACATAATCCGTGAAATGATACTGTGTTCAGACGTTTTCATTTTAAAAGTACTTGCTAATAAAACATACGTAACATAAGCAATGCTACTGCAGCTGAATAAAAAAGAAAAATATAATGCTGGTCAGTACTGTTGGTTTAAGAAGCAGTACAGTATATTAAAATGCCTCATTTGGAAATTTTAGTTTCCCTTGTTTTCCAGCAGTTAGGTATTTGGTATTGGAAGCCTATGTAAAGGAAAAGAACTTCTAAAAAATAATATTCTCTGCAGTTGGAATAATTAAATCTTCTACTCAGTCTCTGTTGGTGTTATTTGCTGCAAAGGCATGTAAGTTTCCCATCTGGCTCAGGCCACTCTGAATATGTGCAACATGGATTTCTACATTATTCTGAAAGCAGCTAAAAAAGGGAAAGGAAATATGATTAGCTACTTTATTTCATACATTGAGAAAAGCACATTTGAAAAGAGAAAAGTTGCATTTTAGTTAGGATGAAACTAAGATAATGAGTTCAGGGAAAGACTGAATCTCTTATATTAGCCATAGTTCTACTTGAGTGCTAGTTGAAAAAAATATGCTCTAACCAAGGAATATGCTGTAAAGGGAAGCTACTGAAGTGCTGGAAAGAGGATTAGCTTTTCATTCACTGGAAAGCTCTACTAAGTTGAATCTCCCTGCTAAACCAAAAATTAATACGAGGAACTTCACAAAGCTCATAGAAAAATTGAATTAAGAAATAATGGAATTGTCCCACAAGTTTTATTTTAATGATCCCTTATATTGTCTCCTGATTCCTTTATCTAAAAAAACATACATGGAATTTCTATTGTCAATAGATTAGATGTAACTGAACAGCTCTTTTAAAATTTATTCACAGGGTGCATTATATGAATTCAGTCACAAATATGTATAACTCTTAAAACTTATCATGGAAATCACTATGAATTTAATATAACAATGATTCAGGTACATCCAATGACTTACCTTATATTAGAAGCATCTATTGTACTCTTGATATCGTTCAATGAATCTGTCAGTGATTTAAATTCAAAGGAATTCAGGTCTCCTCCTTCTGCTAGGCACTGAAAGAAAAATCGTATTTCAACATTTAATCACAGTACAAATATAGACATGAACTTCCTAATATAATGTGCTGACATATCGTTTCTTAGCAACAAGTTAGCATAGTTATTGTTTAGGGTCAAAATTAAGAAATTTTCTTTGACATTTACCTTAATTTGTAATAATATAGCTGTAAGCCTAGAAATTAAGTCTGTAAGATTTTCATTTTCAACACAGGGCTGTCCTGTTGAGGAATTTGCATGCCGAACAATTTCCTGTGCTTCTTCTTCACATCTTCGTCTCATATCTGTGGGTTGATCTGCAGGCTGGAGTCCCTGGTCTGGAGCAAGCTGAATATACATGATTGAAACTTAAGATGTACATTCATAAGGCTACAGTTATCTCTATGTGTGTTTGTACCCTGTTTTCAGATTTGATTTTCATAATACTAGCATTCATAATTAAAATGATGCTCTCTTTTAACCCAAAAGTTTCTTCTTTTATCTAACACTGTTTTCTAAGCTGATGATGGTATGTATGAAGGGGTACCCCCGAAAACCCAAAAGTCCCCCCCAAAGCTATGCATTTAATGTCTTTTACAAAACAACCGTATCATCTTCAAAGTACTCTCCATTACACTTAGTACATTTGTCAAACCTGTGATTCCATTCTTTGAAATATTTAAAAACTCATCCTAAGAATATCTACAAGTGTGACAAAGGATATTTGTACACAGGTATTTTCCCTTTGCTACAAATAATACATGAATGTGGTGAGCATATGGAGGGAAAGCTATGAAAACTTCCTGGGCATAACCAAACACCCCCTTGAGGGAATGAAGTGCTGAACCTCGGGGGTGGGGGGTGGTGGTGGTCAGGACCATAATCTCTGGGAAATCAAGGTCAATTTGCAAAGCATAGTCCACGAAGATTATGTGCTCTATCCTACTTTGGTGAGCAGTCCCCGGGTCTTAAAGGATTGTGAATGATCATCTGAGTCGATCTCCCTGTCTGGAGCAAAGAAGAGGGAAACAATTGAAGACAATGGAAACAGTCCTGTGAACTTGTGGCTCACTCAAACCTCACTCTCCATGTCTATCAGAGCATAACTAGGTGGTGCTCACCTACCGCTACCAGCTATTCAGAAAGGGATCACCTTAGAAAATCCTCGCTAGAGAGAGAGAGAAAAAAAAAGTCCTCAAGAGAGTAGGAGAGAAATGTGGAAAACGCAATGTTTTGTTTAGAAATCATGTTTACCGGTCAGATAAATTGGTGGAACCCCTGAAACAATGGCCCTAGTCACCCTTTCAGGTATAGAAACGGCTCAATTTTCAGCCAAACAACAGTCTCTAAGGGGAAGAGTAAAACTGGTGAGGCACACACACACTTTAGAATAGTTAACCATTTGAAACCCAATTCAAGAGGGCTAGGAAAGGAGGAGGAATGCAAACAGAAAACACAGGAGGAAGTATGATAAGTGGTGTTACAATGAGGGAACTATAATGAACAAGATGAAACAAAGCGTGCATGAATTATTGAATGTAAAACTGATGATCTGCTCAGCAAACTGTCACCCGATTTACTTTTAAAAAGGCCTTGATAACATATGAAAATATACAAGGCCATTTGTCATCAATCCATTTCTTCATATTTTATCAGCTGTGTGATGTGGCATCTTGGACTAATTGGGGGGAACACTGTGTTTTTTTTTAGGAACAATGTGTTTATTAGCAAAACAAGTATTGCTTCTAAGTAACTGACAACCACTATAAATCAATAATAAAAGTAAATGGTAATTGCATGGTGATTCACAGCTGCTATATATTTGCTTTTTTACAACATATCTTAGTGCAGTCAGCATGGCTCTACCTTTGTCATGCCCTACCCTTGGTTTGTTGATATAGTGTCCAGTCATTTCAGTTTTAAATCTGTAAAAATCAACAATCCATGTATTGTGGTCTAAAATACTGCTGTACACAGGTATAATGTCCTTTTCTCAACAGTTTTAAATGCTATACCATTGACTAAATTAATGATATCACCAATGGAATTACCATATTCCCCAGGAGGATCATATATAGTGTCTTCCAATAAAATAATGATGTTTCTAAAGTGAACCAAGAACATATATAAACTATAGAACTATGAATGGATGTTGAGCTCACAATTGTAGCTAGTTATTATGACATGGCTCTGCTTAATGCTTGCCTTCATGAACAGATTACTGAAGATATGAGTAATACACAAAGTGCTAGAGAAAGAAGATGCCTGGCTATGAGAAAGAATAGCATCTGGATCTCAAAGGCTTGTTTTAAAACAAGCAGCCATGCCGTGGGGTCCACTCAAGCTGACCCCCATTTCTGTGACTTTCTGGAGAACCACTTCCTGGACAAGGAGGTGAAACTCCTCAAGAAGCTGGGCGACCACCTGACCAACCTCCGAGAGACTCACCCTCAAACACGACTAGGAACCTGCGGCGCCAGGGGGCTGTCTGCCTCCCCGCTGCCAGCCTCAGCCCTCTGCCTGAAACTGCCGTGCAGCGCCAACGCCCGGGAGCCCCTCTCCCAAGCCAGGGACCAAATGGAAACAATAAGGCTTCCCTTTGCAGCAAAAAAACAAAAAACAAGCAGCATCTAAGTGAGTAAGTACAAGCAAACCACTGAAAAATAAAAGAAAGAAGCACACCAGCCTATGTGATCCAAGGACTGTAAATAATACAATCCAAATCTGGAAGAAGGACGGTATTATATTAGAGCTTAAATTCTGAACACCTGGTTTGGTGGAAGGCTATGAATGAAAACCCAAAATCCATTTGCAGGGTCACCATGTGCATGAAGCTTCCAGTCAGTTACCTCTGAGGATGGACCAGGGGTGTGAATGGTCTTGTGTATCAGAATACATTGTAGGGTGAATTATTACAGATGGAGTTAGGTTAAAATGGGACACCTTGTCATTTGATCTCCCCTTTGACCCACTTTATATTTGTTCTAGTTTTTAATATTACTTGCTTTCTTTTATTGCTGTTATTTGAATTTTTTTCAAAGCCATTTTATTGGTAGTTATACAGATATCCTATCATTCCATAGTTCAATCACATCAGGCAGTACTGTACAATTGCTACCACAATCAGTTCCAAAATATTCTTTTCCTTCTTGAACTCCTTGACATAGGCTCCCTTTCACCCCACCACCATAACAATACGCCCCAGAAACCCTTACTCTACTTGCTGTCCTTAGAGGATCATCAATCCTCTTTTTCATGTACTGAAAAAGATGTAACCCAAATTCAAGAGGGTGACCCCTGTCATAACACATCTGAAGTAAAGCCCAATATGAACAACTAAAGAACAACAAAATACAGATAATGTTGAAAAACAGACGAAGCCTCACATGCATCAGATGGGGGGATCAACTGGCAAAGCTGTAACCGCCCAGGTCAGGTTTCTTTGTGGTCTTCTGTAGTCATCTCTCCATGAACCCTATTTGGTACCTAGGTTCCTCCCACCTCTATTATGGAGAGAAGGAACACCAGAAGCTTATTTCCTAAGCAGATCTCACAAATGTACCTTGGGCTCCCACTGTCATCCGTAGCCTTCTGCAAAGCAGACTCTCAGTTTAGGCTGTGCTATTACCCCCTCCTTCAGCTCCAGATGATATGATCTACAACCCTGCAGTGACCGATATTGGCGTGCTTCTTCCTTGTGGACTAAGTTGACATCTCACTTAGATGGCTGCTTGTCCAGAAACAAGCCTTAAAGACCCCAAATGCTATCTTATCTTATAGCTTGAAACCATCGAATTTCTTCACCACACTTTGCTATAGCACTCACATCTTGTGTTCCCTTTCGGAGGGTGAGTTCCTAGCAGGGCTATGATGTATGAACTAACTGTTCTTAAATTGAAGCTAGGATTTAGTGGGGACCCAAAACCCATTCCAGAATCCATGTGTTTTTTTTTTTTTTAATCTGCCGTTGGCTCTCTTTCACACACCCCCTTGTTATTTTATGGTAATTTATGCTTTCTGTTTGATTGAGATTTTTGTTTTGTCTTTTTTTCCCCTTGTATGTTTTTCTACGGATGAAATCCAGGATAGGAAATCTACAGAGATAATAACTGGATTAATAATTTCCTATAGGTCATATCAATATGAATGAGGAGGAGTGCGGAGCAGAGACCCAAAGCCCATCTGTACACAATTGGACATCCCCTTACAGAAGGGTCACAAGGAAGAGACGCGTCACTCAGGGTGCAGTATAGCATTGACGAAACATACAACTTTTCTCTAATGCAGTGGCTAACCACCTTCCTAATGCCGTGACCCTTTAATCCAGTTCCTCATGTTGTGAGCCCCAACCATAAAATTATTTTCGTTGTTACTTCATAACTGTAATTTTGCTACTGTTATGAATCGGGTGACCCTTGTGAAAGGGTCATTCGATCCCCAAAGGGGTCACAATCCACAGGTTGAGAACTGCTGCCTTATAGTAAGAAACTCAAATTTTAGGTTTAACTGTTGAACCACCTTTAAACATAATCATATGTAAACACAATTTGCAAATAATCATGTGATCCATATATCTAAAAGTCAAAAATTGATAGCTGTAATATAAGGTTTAAAGGAGGAAACAAAGTGATATTAACAGTGTAGTAAACACTATGTGAGAAAAAGCATGGAGGTAAAAACAGACCAAGGGAAAATAACCCAAAATATGGAATTAAAAGCGATTGTTTCTCGAAAACTTTTTAGAGATTATATTTGTAGTGAAAACAAACACAAACAAGAGGGTTGATAACTAGTATGTAAAACATTGAAGCTATGAGGAACAAAAAGTGTACATTAAAAAGGATTGTTTAAAGACTTAGTTTGCATTTTCGAAATGTGAAGGTATTAAGTTTCACATAAAGAATGGCAGGCACAATACCTATAAAAACAAAGACACCCCATTACTTACCTCGTAACAGTACTGTTGAACCTTTTGCAAGACTTTGTTTAGATCCTTGTTCAGTTGTTCAAGCTCTAGAACAATGGTTGCATATCTCCGCTGAAATTCAATGTTGATGGGCATTGAATATGATTTCTGAACAGAAAAACAAATTAGATCTTGATATCAAGTTTTATTCACTTAATTTAGCCTAAGTAATGGAATTTCAATGACCTAATAGATCTGACTTCTATACCACGAACTAAATGTTAATAAAATTATCTATATTCAATATTCTCATGTGTGATAATGGTATTGCTATCACTGAGATATCTATTTTTAATTTTAATAAATCATTTTATTGGGAGCTCTTACAACAATCCATACATCAATTGTATCAAGCACATTTGTACATTTGTTGCCATCATTTCCAAAACATTTTCTTTCTACTTGAGCCATTGGTATCAGCTCTTTTTCTCCCTCCCTTCTCTACCCTGCCACCTTTGTGAACCTTTGAAAATTTATAAATTATTGATGGTGCCCGGCTATCAAAAAGTATAGCGTCTGGGGCCTTAAAGGCTTGAAGGTAATCAAGCGGCCATCAAGCTCAGAAGCAACAAAGCCCACATGGAAGAAGCACACCAGCCTATGC